ATTATGAGGGTCAATTTTTTAAAGCTCATAATTTAATTGATAAGGAGAATTTTTTCATGCTTAGTTTCTTTACACAGCATAAAACAATCTGATCAAAAGCAAGTTCAAGGACAAGATTATTTTGCCTCATAGTTGGAGAGGGCATAGTCTATGATGGTGTGGGAGGCTTAGAGGGTTAGCCCAGCTTTCACCACAGCAAGGCAGGAAGAAACAGTAAGTGATGCCTGCACACAATTGACTTTCTCTTTCTTTGCCTTTCCCTCTGCTGTGACTTCTGCCCCCACTGAGATGGTGCCACTCACATTTGGGAAGAGATTTTCCTCCTCTACTCTCTCCAGATGCCCTCAAAGACAAGCCAATTAATGTACCTTACCAATGTCAAGGTGACAGTGGGGACTAACCATTACAATAACTTACGTGTCCCCTGGAATCCTCAGTGTCCTCATCTTAAACAGATTCCTGGGAGTAACCAATACCAAAAAAATAAATGGGTTGTGCTACTGCCCAGTGAATGTATATGCAGTTCAGCTACTTTTTCATTTGAATACAGACTTTGAAAGTCCCTGTCCACTTGAACCCCAGTAGAATGAGACATGGAGAAGTTCACATGGTTGAATCTCTAGAGGAAGTATCCAGTGGTGTTTTAAGGGTTTTTTTCACTTTTCCCTTGTATTCCACGTCTACAATGTGCCAAATATTTTAATGCTACTTTATCTTAGTGCCACTTTATTTTATGTGTATGGGTGTTTTGTCTACATGTGTACCTGTATACCATGTGAATTCAGTGCCACAGAGGCCAAAAGAGGACATCAGATCCCCTGGAGCTGGAGTTATAGATGGCTGTGAGCCACCATATGGACGCTGAGAATTAAGCTTAGGTCCTTTGCAAAGAGGCCTGTTCTCAAGTAATAGTCTAGGAAACGCTTTTCCACAAATAATCAACAATGGATTAAGTTTCATGCTTCAAGAGGTCTTGGGGGGGGGTAACCTTAACCACTGAGCCATCTCTCCAACCCCAACATTGACCCCTTGACCACTTTCCTCACTCCCTGCCAGACAAGGAAATGAATCTACTTTCTATTTCCTGGGATGTGCTCATCTTGAAAGTTACCTTATTGAAGAATAGCATTCAGCTACAAGTGTGACCACTAGTGTCCAGTAGAGTCTGTCCTCACAGAGGTCATGGTACCAATGCTGGCAGATTTTTTCTTGCATATTCTGCATCCTCTCCTAGCGCTCCACCCTCAGGGTGCTGCCAAAGTAGTAACCACAGCCTGTCCTCCATTTCTAAAAGCTGAAGGCTCTAGTGAGCTTATCTAGCTTCTATGTCAGAGAGACATGTTACAAGATGACATGAATATGTCAGAACTTATTACTGACAGAAATGGACAGGCACAACGGGTACTATGATTTTACTCTTTACTAACATCTCAAAGAGATATTTCCAAGAACACAATAGTTTTTATGGCAAATTCTGTATTTTTACAGTGGCTCTAAGTTTCTTCTCTCAACATTAGATGTCAAACATCCAACATCAAATTCCTCTACAGGAAACATCAAATGATGCAGTTTGTCTGGGCCACTTACATTGAAGCTCATAGTGCCACATCCATCAAGAACCCTATGGATGACATTTAACTACAACAAAGTAACTGACTATGTTACAGATCATGTGTTAAGTGTGGATATGTGACTCTAAACAATGTTCTATGAAGTATGTGGGGCATGGGTATTCCCCCAAACAGGTGCATGCATGACATTGCCTGTCCTCAATTCTTGTACATATGTGCAGACCCTGGCACATAGGAGAAGCTAAGGTCATACGTTGGTGTATTCTCAGCAGGAGCAGAGAAACTTGATCCTCAGAAACTCCCCACCCTCAGGAGGCTGCAAGATCCCAGCAGTAGGGGCTAGTGGGGTGGCTCAGTTGGTGCAGAATAAAAGCATGAGGACTTGGTTTCAGATTGCCAATATACACAAAACTTGGACTACAGAATCATGGGAAACCTTGAGCCCTGCTCATCCAGTTGAATTGATGATCCTGAGTTTCAGTAAGAGACCCTAGCTCAGGAAAAATAAGGGATATATGTCACTTGTATGTACTTCACTTGGTATGTTCTTACCACCTCACATGTACTTACCATTGGCATAGATTCACACTCATGTGTATATTCACCTCACAACACCACACACATACACTCAAACCCCTCTCCCCACACACAATAACTAAACTTAAAAAAAGACTCCAGCAGCAGCATTCCTATTGCAGAGGTAAGACAGAAAACGTCAAGTCAGCAACAATGAGGCATAAGAGACCATGTGAAGTGTGTCAAGATAAACAAACGCAGCACCATTCATTGTCATCACTATTTCCCTATTAATTCAGTTGCAATAGTGGGTTCTGAACCAAAGTAAATCTAGGTGTGGACTTACCTCTGCAACTCACATTCAAAATACTGTGGGAGAGGATGGTCTCTTCTGAGGGTCTCTCCTTGTCTGGGAAATGGACATATTAGTTGTATGAAATCAGTAAGCAAGCTGTACTACCTAGCTCAGTAGCTAAGTAAAAAATGAAGGTTACTGTCATGCTTAGTTCTCAGTCTAGCAGTGGACCCTTCTCCACACAATCCACTTAAGGAACTGGGGTCTTCAGCATCTGGGTCTACCATCTCTGAAGTTCTCCACATACCTGACTAGATCCTCTGACTCCAATCAACCAACAAAGGAAGAGACAGCAAACAAATGTAGCTCTCACAGCAACAGAATCAGAACTTGGGCACGTGGCTGCTGGAAGAGAATGTCAAACTGGGAACCCAGATGGATAAAGACAATGAAAGGAATGCTAAATGATTTGTCAGAATCTCAGTGAAATCTCCTGCCTGTGGGATTGTTGAAGACATGAAATGAGATGTTGTTGGTAGAGCAATTTGTCTGTGTTTGGCATGGGAGCTCATAAATATTAACTAGCATGGCATGTAGAAAGCAGATCTGAAATATTTCATATACAGTGTTTGATGGTTAATATTGAGTGTCATCTTGACAGGATCTAGAGTTGCCCAGGAGAGAGTCATCTGGGCTTGTCTATAAGTTTTAGATCAGGTTAACTGAGAGGAGCAGCACCATTCTACCGACTGGGGTCCAGGACTGAATGAAAAGAGAATTAACCAAGCACCAGCATCCATTTCTCTCTGATGCCTGACTCTGGACACCATGTGACAAGCTGCCTCACACTTCTACCTCTGTGATTCCCCACCATGACAGACCCTCAAACTGTGATTACAACAAACCTTCCCTTCCTTGAGTTGTTTTTGTTATAGCAACTTAATGTTGTCAACATTATGTTGTCATAGCAACATAAGAAACATCTCACACTTATGGTATAATATTCTCAGTGAATGTCAGATATTTTAAACATTACTAGTGCTAGTAGTGAGACTGTATTATTATTTCAGATAATTGTATAGCCTAAGATGGTAGATAAATGACCAGAGGGCCTAGACTAAGAAGAAACTTTTTTATGAGGGAAATTTCATTTATATTGTTCTATGGGTGAGGGAAAAAACATGTTGAGGAGTACCTGCTCTTCTCAGGCATGCTGCAGTTGGCTACCAAAGTAAGCATAACCCCTCAGTCATCTCTGTGGGGTCAACATCAGTGCACCCTCTCTGCATAAAGGCAGAATAAAGAGCGCAAGCCAAATGATGTTGTAATCCTACAAAGAAATCAGACTCCTTCCTTGTCTTCAGGAGAAAACCAGGAGGAAGGCATTGCCAGGCATCACTGTTGATCACAAAGTTTCAGTGGGCTCAGGGTTCCAAGAAAATTAACACCAAAGAAACTACGCTTCAAAAAATAAAGGAAGTGACAGCAAAGTCAGTTTATAAGGTTTCAGAATTGGTCCAGGGCGGGAGTTCTGAGAGAAACTGAATTCCTCATTTTTCACTTTAAAGGCTATGATAGTGAGAGGTGGCTGCCGTGTGCCATCTTGCAGTCCCTGCAAGTATGACCCTTCCAGCTTATTTCAACTTGTGTAGCTTTCCGCATCGGTTGTGTCTCTGTCTGTATCTTTTCAGGGAAGAAGGCTTTGTCTGTCTGATTGCTTCTCTTTCTGTTTCCCATCGCTGTCGCCAGTTTCATGATCTGGGAAGCCACAAAGCACAGCTAAGTCTTCATTCCATTGGCAGGTGGCTCACGAGAGGCCACAGTAAGATGCTGGACAGCGAAGAAATAGGAGGGAGGGAGGGAGGGAGGGAGGGAGGGAGGGAGGGAGGGAGGGAGGGAGGGAGGGAGGGAGGGAGGGAGGGAGGGGGAAGGAATGGAAGAGAAGAAGGAGGAGGAGGAAGAGGAGGAGGAGAATGAAGAGGAGGAAGGGAGACGAGGAAAAATGGCACAATGATTCTCACTGCATTTTCCCGATAAGCAAATATCTTCAAGGAGCACAGTTAAGAGAATCTGCTGTTTACAACATACACCTGGTCCTCCATGCTTCTCACTGTTTCTCAAGGCTTCCTATGGCTCTCTGATTGGAGCAGTCTCAAAGACCTGTTTTTTAGGCATCAGGAACACCCAGGACCAGTTTCTGCAAGTGGAGCTCAGCGCCAGATCTCTTTTCACAGTGGGAGGGAAGAGAATTGATGCCCCTCCTTGCTGCCCACCCCTGCTAGTTCCTTCGCTCGACAGATGACCCTGCTGAGTGCAGCTGGCTTTTCTTACACCTTAGGTTTCATATAAACCACATGTAGCATCCTTGGACTCCACTCAGCCCCAGTTATTAGGTGTTTTTCCTTCTTGGCAGGGTGAGAGCAGGAGGGAAGGGGGTATGGCTCCTCAAGGCTGCCATTGCACCAACCTACTCCACCCAGAGGAGATCCTACCACAATACCTATGGAGAATTCAGATGTAACTGCTGCCACCTCATGTTTCTTTGGTAAAAATACCTTACCATATGCAGAGATGTATTCCAAATACTTTCTCTTTTTTCTTTCTTCTTTCTTTTTTTCTTTTGTGGACGACTATACATTCATTGTGTTTGAGAGGCAGAGTAAAGGGGAAACCCCAGCAGGAAGACTAGGTTCCTGGTGAAGAACAGGAAGAATATAATTGGAATCTGTCTTTTTCCCAAATACTTATCTATTGTCATTCATGTTGCAGCCCAGAGACTGGCCCCTATAATCTGAGAGTTTCTTACCTTTGTGTGTGTCAAGCCTCATGCTCTCCCTACAACCCCCTTCCAGTAGCTCAGTCCAGGGATCTCTTAGTTTTCTCTGATATCCACAAGGCCACCTTCTCCCTATATCCATGATGCAGGGTGTCTCTCCAGGGTCACAACTAAATGGGCACAATGATCCTGTGCCTTCCAGCCATCTGTCCAAGGATTATCATCCAGTTCACAAACCACCATGTGAAATGAAAGCTACATTTCCACACTGACAAAAATATGGAAGGTGACAATTCTGAGACATCCCACATTTCCCCTCTTCTGATCCTTACTGGGAAAGCACCCTCAAAAATGCATTTGGTGTTTTTAAGACTAATATAGATCAGTGGTTCTCAACCTTCCTAAAGCTGAGTCCCTTTAATACAGTTAGTTCTTCATGTTGTGGTGACCCCCAACCACAAAATTATTTTCATTGCTACTTCATAACTTTAATTTTGCTACTGTTATGAATCATAATATAAATATATGATCTGCAGGATAGTTGATATGTGAACCCTGTGAAAGAGTTGTTTGACGTCCCCGTACCAAGGGTCCCCCACTGCTGTTTTAGATACTGTCACAAACCCAGCAAGCCGCTCCTGACACCTTGAGGCTTAAAGGATGCATGAATTAGTGGCCTGGCCTGGAGCACAGGATGGTACCCATTGTGTTGAACATGTTTCATGGAGAGAAGTCCACACAATCAAGGATGACGCTGTCTTTCTAGGCAGTTCCTGGGCTCTGGACTTGCCTACACAGACGTCCCTCTGTCTATTTTGAGGACCCATGTTCTACTAAAGGGTCAGGGTTTTAGTAACAGAATTATGGTGGCATGGAAGTAATAAAACCAATGCCAGCTACCCTTCGCACAGTGCTTAGCACATGCTAAGAGTAGGTGAAATGGCCTTGCTTACACAGTCCTGTCCCATTTACACATTAAATCCTGAGACTCCCAATCAGCAGGTGTTGTAGTGGAGACAAAGGCTGAGTGCGTTATCAGTGATTTGATGACTAGCCACTGGGTTACAGTAAGTGGTTTTCTGAAGTCCAGAAGCATGACTCTAGGGTTCATGGTGTTCAAGACTATTTTAAGCAACTCCATAGAGAGAGGAAATTGTCAGTTTTAAACCAATGGAGACAATAGCACAATAGAAAGACAAAACCTGGAAATGCAGCCCATATATAAGCCTGTTCACAATGGAGACAGAGAGCTAGGCTCTAACTTGCAACTCTTGCTCTTTGGGAAGATCTTGTGACAGTTTTAGAAAGGGGAAGACTAAAGAATAGAAATTATTGTTGTAATCATTATTCTTATTTCTATTCCAATATATTATTTTTTCCAAAAGTTTATTCCCCTAAATTAACTAAGACATCCTTAGTCTTCATCTCTTCCTCAACAAACTCTTCCCCCTTATACTTGGCCAAGTATAGTTGATCCAAGATCATATTAATTGTTGGGAGTTCTACATGAATAATTGCTTTGAATTAACACCAGTTAATTGAATTTGCAATATAATAATATTTGGTGACCCACTTTGTACATGAACACAATTAAGGTATTTTCAGGACTGCTATTAGAAGGGAAATGTCCTGCTGTCTTTTTAAAAATGTAGGTTAAAATAGCATGTATATTTTGTTTTTAGAATCCCTAAAGTTCCCTTGATGTACCAAATCTGTTTTTCAGCCTAACTCTTCTCTCCCAAGATTCTCTTGGAATTGATCCAAAGGAAATGCTGTTGTAAGCCTGGTGTGGATCACCTCTCTTTTCTGTTTGGGGATTTCTGTATGTATATCAGAAACTAGGGCAAGGGATGGCTGTACATGCAGTTGTGGCTTGTTGCATGCTAGACACAGAATACAGTAGTTAGCATTGCTCTTTATCAGGGAATGCAAGGGACATTAGTAACTGATAATCCTGTGTATTAGCCAGGGTTCTCTGACAGAATGAAAATATATATTAAAAGGGGATTTATTAGCCTGGCTTACAGACTGTGGTCTGGATAGTCTAACAATGGATTTTCCCAGGATGGAAAGGCCAAGAATGCAGTCGTTGTTCAAATCTGTGAGGCTGGATGTCTCAGCAGTCTCAACCTGGTTACGATTCCTGAAGAGTTGCTGGTCTTCAGACATCGGAATTCTGAAGAAGTTGGATGTAGTACCAGCCACAGCATCAGGAAAGATGAACCTGCCAGAGAGATTGAGGATGAGCAGGCAAACTCCCAAACTTCCACATCCTTTCATCTGAGTTGCCACCAGGTGAGGCCCAGGTTTAGAGTGGGTCTTCCTAATTCAAGGAACCGAACTAAGGAACTCTTTCCCAGGAGAATCCAGCTGCTTGGATTTTAGTTGATTTCACTTGTGGTCAAGTTGACAACCAAGATTAGCCATCACAGTCCTACAATGTGCTGCCTTTCTCTGCTCTGCTTTGCCCCTGGTGTCATAAACTGGGGCCTCCAGCCTTGTTCCTACTCTATAACAGAGCCTGGGTGAGAGATAGTGGTTACATAGAGAAGGAGGGTGAATCTGGGAGATGGGACAGGAAGAAGTAAAGCTGACTCCATCCTTTCCGATGCTTGATCTCCTCGACAAGAGCCTACTGACCTCTCAGTATTCAGTCTTCACCTGGAAGAAGTGTCATTCTACTCTCCAATGGGCATTAAGTACAAACCCTACCCATCAGCATTTTCTAGGCCACCAACATTCTATGTGCCAAGCCTTCTTGTATCTTCAAAGTCTTTCTGCTTCTAGTGAATGAAATCTTATTTCAATAGGGCCTTATTGCCTCCACCTTGCTTCATAGAAATCAATGTAATGTCACCCAGCAATGTGTCATGAACTTGTCGTTTGAATTAACTGCGATGCTGGAGCTAAAGGTTGAGCAATCTTGCTGCCGAAGGCGTTTTCCTCTAACAGCTCCATAAAGTGGGCAGCAAAATTAATAGTTGGCTGTAAAGTGGTCATTTGCAGGTTGCTGGGTGTAGCAAAATGGTAACTGTTAGAACCCAGGATCTGCTGCCATGGTGCAGAAAATACTTCATGAGAGGACAGTGTAGTTCTAAAGTTTGTCAAAGCAAACACAGTCCAAGGCTGATAGGTCAAAGCACGATATGAGTTCATATCAAGAAGGAGGCTATCTGAAGTCCAGTGAAAAAAATCTTAAGTAGGCTGGACTACAGAATTTAGACTCAAGAATGGGAGAAAATAAATCTTCATTGTTTAATCCACACTTTTTGGCAATTTCTTATAGTAGCCAGATGTGCTAAGATAGTGACATTTAAACAACTTACCTTATGAATTCTGAGAAGCAACATAATAAATGATGTTGTGATGGTGGTAATAACAGTAAAGATGGTGAATATGATGATGATGTGGGGGTGATGATATTGGTGGTGATGGTGCAATGATGGTAATTATCACCATTGTCATCATCATTGCCATTTTAATCACCACCACCATCATTACCAGTGGCCATGATGATGAAGACAGTGGTGGTAATGGTGATGATGATTGTGATGATTATGAGGATGATGTGATATTAGTGGTGTTAATATTAATAATGGTGAAAATGTTGACTATGAGGCTTATGTCTATATACTACTTACCACTGTAAGCCAAGTACTGCCCTAATAGTTTTTCCCTGTTATGGGATGTTCATACACTTTGTGAAAATATATTGTTGTGATTGGTGTAACAAAATGCTGAACCACCAATAGCTAGGCAGGAGATGTAGGAGGGACTTCCAAGCAGAGAGAGAATTCTAGGAAAAAGAAGGCAGAGTCACCAACCAGACTCAGAGGAAGCAAGATGGGCAGTATGAAGAAGAGGTAACAGCACATGTCAGAACATAGATTAATATAAATGGGTTAATTTAAGTTATAAGAGCTAGCTTGGGGTAAGCATAAACTAAGGTCGAGCATTCATAATTAATAATAGGCCTCCATGTCATTAGTTGTGAGCTAGAGGTCCAAAGAAAAATCCATCGACATATCCCATTATTTCTTCATTGTTAGCTATATAAACCAAGGAGAAAAATTTAAAACTTTGTTAAAGACATTGAGGCATTGAACTAAGCAATCTGGATCCAGTGCTCATGATCCATATCCATAGTGTAATGTCACTCTATAGAGGGGGACACTTTTGTGTATTTGTAGACACATCTAGGCAAGGTAAATAGTCATATACAGGTAGTCATGTTGACCAGAGAGTCCCATAACTCCTCTGGATTTCTCATCAATATATCAAGGAATAGATAGATCCTGCTTTTACAGGATGATTATGAAGGTAAAATGACTTCTTAGCAAGGAGATCTTAGCGGAATTCCTGGTACATGGTAATTGTTCAATAAAGTATTTTAGTATCATTATTATATAATTGCTTTTTCAATAAAGGGTTGGACATACAGAAAATAAGCAAAATCATCCTTGGAGGAAAGATCAGGGGGGGCACATCCAATACCAGCAAATATGAGAAATGTTTCCAACAGCGTATCACTTTTCCACATTTCTCATATTTGCTGATGTTGGATGGGCCTAGGAAGCTCATTGCCATCAATGATGACTAACAAGGAGGGCGGAGAATCAGGATGACATCCTGTGATATCTAGGAGAGTTCCATGGCAAGAAGCATGAGTCCCTGCATCCCAGTCTACAGGGAAGTGATAGACATTGAGGGATGGTCCTAGTACCAGATCTACTTATTGGACACAGGAAGCCATGGATCTTGTTTAGATGCTCTGTGGAATCTCTTCCCATTTCCATCTCTACTCATGAGCTATCATCAATCCCTACTCATTTTCCCCATTCATTAATTCTCCCTGGAACAATGGATCATGATGAAGCAAGGATGATGGAATATCTCATTGCATAAAGAGTACATTGATTCCATTGTTTGCTGGTTATTTAATATGTGAAGTGGACATATTTCTCATATAAAAAGGAAATATTTAAGGTAAATGTCTACTTATATGTGAATGAATGTATACATATTTGTTGCATTTCAATTTTAAATATTGCTACTTCTTTCTTATTACCAATACCTCACCTGAAAATAATTGAACATCTTATCTCATTAGCAACACCTAATATAAAAGAGTATCCCCAAAAGAAAGCTCTGAATTCACCAATAAATAGTAAATTGCACTTACCAGAATCACTGCTATTTTATCAAGTGAAATGTAGAAAATTGCTATTAAAAATGTCCTAGACTTCAATTTTGCAAAATATCTCAAGATTACTCTCAGGATTCAACCAAGAGGAAAGATAAATAAGAAAAGAAATAGATAAATTGGGCAATAACGGGAAAGAATGAGATTCCAACCATCTGTATTGACTTTGTTTTTTATAAGAAACACAAGTAATTTGAAAGCACACTTTTCTCAGTGATAAATTGTCAAGTGAGAGCAAGTGCATAAACAGACAACTGGCAAGCCTCTGAGGACTCTGCTATATTGCAAAATGATCTCAGAGTCACTGAAATTGCCAGATAAACTACAGGACAATTGTTCCTTGGAAGTTTCTTTTATTGAGAGATGCTGTCTTAAAGAAAACATTTAAGTAAATTAAAAATGATGCAAAAACATCACAAGCAACAAATAATGTGGCATCAAAGATTATAGATCAGCAGTATTATTTTGTTTTGATTGTGGCCTTTCAGGTTTTAGCAGTTACAAGTAACATATGCGTTCTATGTTGTGGTGCTTCCTGTGAGTCACTCGTGAGAGGCAGGTGCTGTCCCCCCAAGGTCAGCCATATTGTGGCTGTGGATCCCATCTCACCTGAACATCCACCTGTGGCATACCTGTCTTGAACTTACTCACATGTTTTATGGACCCAGATTCTCCTAGAACTGGGCCAGAGACCTCATGTCCTCACTGACTGTTGCTTAGAGGCCCCCTTCTGTTACTGGCCATAAGACTTCCCACAGCACAGGTCACCATGCTGCAAGTGGTATTCCTTGGGATGAGCAAATGAGAGAATGAGCACCCAGAATGGCAACCAAGCTTTCAGTAATCTTCCTCAGATGGAATATTGTACAAACCCCAATGTATTCTTTCATTAGGGGTCAGTGAGTCAGGCCTGCCTTTTTATGTGTGTGGGTGTTTTACCTACATGTATGTCTGTGCTGCATGTGTGTCTGTGCAACATGTGCATGCAACAGATCCCCTGGAACTGGAGTTACAGACTGTTGTGAGCTGCGATGTGGATGTATGTCAGGAATGGTACTCAGGTCCTCTGCGAGAGCAGCCAGTGCTCTTGACTACTGAACCATATCTCCAGTCTCAAAGCCATGACAATTTTGGGGGGGAAGGGTGCATTTCGAGACAGGGTTTCTCTGTGGCTTTGAAGGCTGTCTGCATGGTCAGTGATGCAGGTCCCTCAGATCTCTCTCTACAGTCCTGGAACTAGCTCTTGTAGACAAGCCTAGTTTCAAACTCACAGAGATCTGCATGCCTCTGCCTCCCAAGTGCTGAGATTAAAGGCGTGTGATACCACCACCTAGCCAGCCATGGGATTTTTATCTAACCATTTTTAAAGGTTACTTTCTTTTCTTTTTTTATTTTAGAAACTCTTATTTACATAACCATCTCCCCATTCCCTCGCCCTCCCATCCTCCCATGCTTGCCACCGATCCCCCAACTCACCCCTACCCACTCCCCAGGAATAGTGACACCCTCCACTGGGGATCATCAAAGTCCATCACATCATTTGGGGAGGGCCAAGGCCCTCCTTTCCAAAAAGGCTATTTTCTTATAGCGTTCTTTACATATAATATATAGTGTGGCTATCTGGAGGCTGGGACTAATTCATTGGCGTCTAAGGAAGTCCCCCTTACTGCCTGACAAGAAATTAATGTGTTTATCAGAGAGAGCCTTCCATGTCACTGGAAACTAATCACAGTGAGTCTCCACTCTTTATTCAATGAAGTATCAGCCTCACACCCAGTAGGATGTGAACCAGTTTTCACAGTTCATGCCTCTTTAAAGTGACTCAGTAACCAACTCCATTTCCATTTTTCTTTCACTGTCTTGTGCGACTGCATGAAGAAAGTGTGGCTTTCACTCTACACTTATATCTATGCACCACTCTTGTGCCATCTATTTAATAAAGAGAAAGCAGGTCTCAGGCGTAGGATTCTGGTGGACAACCAAATCCTGGTAGGACTTATTATTATGTGAGGGAGTTCATAATTAGGGGGAGGTTATGGGTAATTCTTTGAATTTTCTAGTAATGATAGAAATTTTCCCTTAAACCGTTTTTAAAGATTTATTTTTATATTTGATTAGGTGCTTTTGTACATGCGCATGACAGGCAGTTGTGAGACACCAGATGTGGATGATGGGAGCTGAAGTGTGTCCTCTGTAAGAGCAGAAAGTGTTCTTAATCACTGAGCAATCTCTCCATTCCTAAAAAGTTTTTAATGTATATTTATTGATATGGAACCATGGGACATTTTGTACTGTGACTATTCTATTTCACTGAATTTATCATTTGTAACAGACTGCCATTATTTAGCTATCCACCAGAATCCTATGCCTGAGACCTGTTTTCTCTTTATTGCTTTAGTTTTTACCATTGTATATCATTTACTTATGTAAGTGTATTAAAAATAAATTCATTTTACTATTCATAGTCATTGACTATGGCAAGCAGAGGCATCAGGGGCCTTTGGAGAGCTATGTATGCTGATTGTATGAGTATGTCCAGAAGGAGAGATGATAAGGTGGAGGTTAAGTCTTGGTAAAGTTTTGATAAGAGGCCACGAAAGAGAGTAGTATTTAATTGATGGATTGATAAGCGAATTCCATGCATCTCTCCTGAGACTCTGTGAGATAGTTTTCATATTTGAAATAAACAGCCGTGCGTTGGTGGCGCACGCCTTTAATCCCAGCACTCGGGAGGCAGAGGCAGGCGGAACTCTATGAGTTCGAGGCCAGCCTGGTCTACAAAGTGAGTTCCAGGACAGCCTCCAAAGCTACAGAGAAACCCTGTCTCGGAAAACCAAAAAAAAAAAAAAAAAAGAAATAAACAATAGGTGCTGGTCAGTGGGTGTTATACCCCATAATTCACATATGGAAGTCATTATCAGCACATGATGGAATATGCAGATGGAGCCTTGGAGAAGAAAATAGGTCTATAGGTAATAAAAGTGGGGTGCACCACTAAGAAGAAACAGCAGAGGACTTCCTGTCTCTGTCCATTTCCAGGGTATATGGTAAGAAGGGACCCTCCTATGCTACAGGAGAAGAAATTTCACCAGGGACTGAGATGACAAATACTTTGATCCTGGAATTCCTGCCATGTGTCACACAGCCTTTAGTATCTCCTTAAGTCAATTTAAGTTGATGAATATCATAGGTCATGAATTTGGGGGCTGGTGATGTGTCTTTTCTGGTAGAGAGCTTTCATAGAATGCATGAAAACCCCAGTTTCAATTGTCCCAGCAGCACATACATTCGATGTGGTGACAAAAGCCTGTGATCTCAGCCTCAGGAGGTAGACACAAGAATTCAAGATCATTCTTGGCTTCATACTGAGTCCAAAACCAGCTTGGACTACATGAGACCCTGTGTCTTTTTTTAACAAGGGCAATTTATTTCATATGAGGAACTCAGCAGAGAAAACTGATGCCCAGGCAAGCTTATGCAACATAGAAATTAGTAACTACTGAAAACTACCAACCCTAGCAATGTAAAGATGGTGGAATGAGGTACCTGAGTCCAAGGGTCAGACCACTAGAAAGAAGTTAGACCCTTGTTGA